TTAACGCGAAGGCTGGACTCGAACCGCTGAAGCGTCGACCATTTCTGGCCGCCAACTTTCAGCATCATTAAGCTGCTGCGCCACCGCGTCCCCCATAATGTGTATATCAAAAATTATTTAACATCATGATTCAAAAAAACCCTTTAAAATCATGCTGTAAAATTGTTTTTATAAAAGATTCAAAAATTAGGGAAAAAACCCCAGTTTTTTGAAATAAAGGAATAGAGACTTATAAGAGAGTTTCCCATATTTGAGTTAAGAAAAACTTATTTGTTAATAATATTGTTTACTTTTTATCAATGAAAGTTAGGATAACTTTTAATTTTATCTGTGTACTTTTAACTGTATTTGTTTTTTGATTGATTTATTTATTTTATCAAATTTGTCACTGCCCATCTCATTAAACGACTCTGGGCGATTTATAAAACAATTAAAATCAATTAAAATTACAGTATTACAGTAATAAATACAAAATAAAAAGATCCAAAAATAATTGGCAATCACTCAGGGGTGTCATCAAGGCACTAGCCACCCCCAAGATCGGGTAGAGTTGTTATCCCCCCACGCAAGTTGGCAGAGCCAAGTCTTCAATTCTTTCTGGAAGGCTGGTAGGGTAGGGACTTGCCACACCTCTAGGGGGAGAATGTTCCAAAGGGCGGGAGCAACGGCAGAGAAGGCTCTCCTCCTGGGCCCCTCCAGCCGACATTCTCTCACTGACAGGACCCACAACATACCCTCTCTGCCTGACTGGGTGGGACGGGTTGATGTGATGGGGTAAGTCTCTCAGGTAACCTGGACCCATGCCATGTAGGGCTTTAAAGGTGATAACCATTTAGATCCTGTCTTTTGCTCAGGAACTCAAGGTGACATACATATTACTCCCTCCTTCCATTTTTAATTTTATATAATACAGCAACTCTTAAAACAAATAGTGGATTGTTTCTTTGGAATATTTCTTTGGGGAAAAATGATCCCATGATTTCATTAATTTTGAAAATGTGATTTTAAAGATTTTGCATAGGAAACACACAGTCAGAAACAGTCTTAGTTATTAAAACATGGTTACTCTTTGTATGTCATCACCTGTATCCCACTGATGTTTTTTTTCCTGTTTCTCCTGGCTCACTTGCAAAAGAGTTCGAACTAAATCCACTCCCTGGAGCTTAGTAGCCTGCTGAGCAATTTTTCTTTCAACATCCTTTAGATCAGTCTGAAAAACAGAAAGAAAATGCGGAGAATCCTGAAGTGCTTAATTCAGGTAGTCCTTGACATACAACCATTCATTCAGCAACCGTTCAAAGTTATGACAGCACTGAACAATGATGGTTACAACTGGTCCTCAGAGTTCCAGCCACCCCAGACCCTCACAGTCATGTGATCACAATGTGGGCACTTGGGAAGTGGTTTGCACTTACAACCAGTTTCAGTGCCCCACAATCACCATTTACGACCTTCCCTGCCAGCTTCCCCAGAAAGTCAATGAGGAAGCCAGCAGGGAAGATTATAAGTCACTGGGCTAAGTCTCCCCGACCTGTGCACCCTCCCCCAGCACCTCTGCACTTGTGCTGCACTGGCCACTCGGGTACATGCACCCTCCCCAAGCCTCGCCATGCCTCCCTCACACCCTTGTGCACCCCCGGGGTGCATCCTTGTGCACCCCATCATGGCCTCCCCCACCTGGCAGCCGCCATTTACCTACCTGCCTGCTCGCAAGCCACCTAGGACTTGAAACTTCCTGCTGGTTTCCTCACTGACTTGATTGTGGGAAGCCGGCAGGAAGCTGCCTCGCCTAACGACTCTGGGATTCAGTTAACGATGGCAACCGGGACTGCAGGGATTGCTGTTGCTAAGTGATGCAGTCACACTTTATGACCATATCACTTAGTGACTGAAATTCTAGTCCCAATTGCCATCGTAAGTCAAGGACTACCTGTAGTATATTTTGGGCTCCAGAATATCTATTGGAGATAAGCATGGCATATTTATACAGGTGTTCCCTGCACCCCCAATTCAAGAGTTCCTTCCCATTATGTGACTAACTGAGAAAGAAAGCTAAATGAAGAGACTTTTTTCTCTAACAGACTTTGCCATTTTACATGTGAAGTGTAGTAAAGGAAGGTTTTGTGTGCAATCTAAGAAGAAGTACCCTTACCTGATCCCTTTCCATAATTATAATATCTTGCAGACATGCTTTGGCACTTTCTTCCTCTGTTATGTTAACACCCAAGAAGATTTCTTGTTCTTCTATATCACTTTTAAGGCTTTGAATTTCTCTGTTAAGAGTCTGTAGCTTGTTTCTTAACTCAGGTATATCTTTTTCTTGAAGTTCAGATACTGTTTGTCTTTACAAGAAACACAAAATAAAACTGCATGACATTTTCTTCCTTGTTAACAGTCATAAAATCAACTTCGTACAACTGTACTTGGATTCCTTACTGTAGTGTATGTAGGCAATCATTCTGCAGAAAATATGCAGAAGGGAGGGAGTGGAAATATGTGACCTGTTCCCTCCCTTCTGGAAGAACAAGTTTAAAATCTAGAAATAAGTCTCAGCTCAATAGTATTCCTGGGGAGTCTTGTTGCCACTGTGAACCAAGCTTTGACTGATGTAGAAGCTGCCCCACATGTCTTGATTATATCCAAGTTGTACCTCTGTGGAATTAACTTTGAAGATTTGGCAGCAACTTCAGACAAACAGCTATTAAGAGCTTGCTGGTTGCAGTTATTTAAATATTCAGCAGTGGCTGAAACTCTATTCTAAGTCCTGTTTCCATCTGCAATTAAAGTTGGTAATTCCTGGAAGGAGACATCCTTCTCCAATATCCTTCCCTGTGAGGTCCATTTGTCTCCTTGTTCTCTTTCTTCAGGAGCTACTTCTTTACACAACACCTGGAATTTGCTACCATCAAATGTGATGGTCAAGAGGTTATAACTAGACCCAGCAATGCTGGACAATTTTCATCCAGTCTCCAACCTTCTCTGTCATAGCACCTGCCTTGTGGAATGGCCCTGGCCCTGTTGGCCTTCAGAAAAGCGGTGGAGACTTGGCTTTTCCCCTAGGCTTTCGGGTCAGGATGTTGATGCAGCTGGCATGGAATAAATGAGAGATATACTGGGGTCTCAATGCTGTTTATTGTTTTACATTGTCTTTTTTAATGCACTGTGTTTTTATTTTGTTCACCATCCAGAGTTCCTTCTGGTAGATGGGCAACTATATAAGTTTGTTTAATAAATAAATAAAATAATGGCCCACAATTTAGGTTTCCATGGCTATTTGACTTCTTAATGAGTATTGCCTCCAAATCTAAGGCAGCGTGCCTTCAATATTCGTGGTTAGGTAGCAACAGTCCAAGGGGGCTTTTGCTCTCACCTTCAGTTTAGAGACTCCCAGATGCATCCAGTGAGCCACACACATGAAACAAAACGCTGGACTTGATGAATTTTGAACTCATATACAGCAGGGCTCTCTCAGATTTTTATGGGAGTTATAACTAACCCACTGATCAGCTCTTCCTATTATTAGCAGTGTTAAAAATTCTGTTTTGATGCCATGGTCTTATTTTGATTTGAATACTACAATTATGTTTGCTTTGATTGTAACGTTCTTAACCTTGCTTTCCCATGACTGGAATTCTCCTCATGGCACACTCCTACTGGAGAAAGAGAGATTGGGAGGAGAAACATGATTTCTCTTTCCTCCTGAGCCAACTCTGCCCTCCATATATTTGGGGGACCCTTCACAGCCACACGGCCACTGATGCTCTCAGCTGTTGAGAGAATGAGGAATCAGTTGCTGTTTTTAGAAGGGCAACTCATTATCTAAGTCACTATATTATTTTGTGGTGGAAGTGATAGTGAATGTTACTGCCTGAAAGGACAGCAAACCGCTTTAACTTGCACATATCAAATGACTGTCTTTCCTGAAAACTCTGTTCACTTCTCACAACATAGAACATTGTGATACCTGCCTCACCTGAAAGGTTTCAGAGAAATCATATCATCACGTTTCTTCTCTCTTTTCTTAAGTTCAGATTCTGTTGCCTTCAGTTTGTCTGGAGCAAGGCGCAGTTTGGCTTGAAGATCATTTATGACATCTTGCAGTTCTGCCTCTGTTTGAAAGATCCTCTGACACACTGGGCAACATGACTGGTTTTCATCTGTTAGCTGTGTGATGAACTGTGAATAAACTGCTGTGGCTCCTGCAAGCATAGCTATATCAAAGAACAAATGTTTTCATAAGACAGAGGGAAGATAGTATTTTATCAATTATCATTTTTCAAATTCATTTTGGCGAAGAGGATTAACCATTCTTATTAATGGATGATTTAGGTCAAGAACTTGTACCTATCCACCAAAAAAACTCCAAAGCAACTTATAATCTAAGCAAAGATGAACAGAAAAGCTAAAACAGTAAAAACATGAACCCAATTTAACCCCTTATAAAAAAATATCAACAAGCACTGGATAAAAATTAAAAAGTTTGAAGTGCTTCAGGGTTGTAAAGGAAAACTTGAGGGGTAATTTAAACTTTATGCTAATTTAGAAAATCACATGATAGAATAGCTACCTTTACCATTACTATTCATTGTTGCCAAAAATGAGGGTGTAAATCAGGGATGGGCAATTCACAATCTACATGTGGTTCCCCACTGATCCTTCTTGCCACTTAAGCCCATTCTACATTGTCTATGAATGCTGCCTGCGTTAAGTCAAATATTAAATGTTTAAAGGAAAATTTTCACCAAAATATAAAATCAACTCTGTTCATAGCAAGAAGTACTGCTTCCATTCAACAAGGCATACAGTGACAGAAAAAATATAGGTGCAGGCAGGCAGACAGAATTAAGTGTACACAATGATGGCATCCCATTCATTATTATAATTGTAATGTTCATTTTATTGCTAATGACAATGGTCCTAATATTAATGGTATTGATAATTCTTCTGAGAAGAATAATTATGAATGTAACTGTACAAATCTTAATGCTGTTGATAAACATAACAAATAAAAATACAATGTTTGACCGTATGCTTTTGGGGTCGTTTACCCATAAGGCAAAGGACCCTCAATTTAAAATGAACTTCTCCCCAAAGAGATTACAGGTAGTCCTCAACTTACAACCATTTGTTTAGCGACTGTTCAAAGTTACAACAGCACTGAAAAAAGTGACTTATGACTGGTTCTTGCACTTATGACCATCGCAGTGTCCTCGTGGTCATGTGATCAAAATTTGGGCACTTGACAACCAGCATGTATATACAATGGTTGCAGCATCCTGAGGTCACATGATTGTCATTTGTGATCTTCCCAGACAGCTTCTGACAAGCAAAATTAATTGGGAACCATGTGTTTCACTTAATGACCATGTGATTTACTTAACCACCGCAAAAAATCAGATGGTCTATAACATTAATTATTGATTATATACTTTGCAGCCAAAGATGGAGAAGCTCTATACAGACAGCAAAAACAAGACCAGGAGCTGACTGTGGCTCAGATCATGAGCTTCTTACTGCAAAATTTAGGC